CCTGTATACCCCATGTCCACTTACTCCTGTATACCCCATGTCCGATTGTACCTTTTCCTCCATCTCTGCTTGTGTAGTTTTCTCGAAAGTTCACACCTCACATTTTTACTTTCTTCTTTTTCCTCTTACCCACTCCAGCAAAGTTTGCAGTGCCTGTTGCAGGAACCAGTGGCCCTTTCCAGTTCTTAACTTACTTATTGTCTCTGAATTCTATTGCCAACGGTTCAAGTGCTGCCACTTGGCCCTCAGCTAATCCGCTTTTGCAAATGACCCCCAACTAGTCTGTTAGACGGTAGGACCAAGCTTGGAAATGCTGAGACTCCACACACTCTTGCTTGCTGGCAGAGATTTAATGGGAATCTACCCCAAAGCTGGAAGTTCACTGGCAAAGGCAAGGCACCTGTGCCCAGATATGAGGGTGGGCAAACAGTAGGCAGGGAGGCGATAAGGGGGCAGGAGAGAAGTGAGAGCACCCAGGATTGAAGCGCTCGGTGTCAGAAGAAATGGAGTTGTTTTAATGGACTTACTTATGAAATGCTGCACAGTCGAGACAGCTCAGAACATGAACCACATGCCAGGTGAAATGGCTCCTACCCACAACCCCAACATTAAGGAGGCTGAGAAAGGATTGTCGTGAGTTTGAGGCCAGCCTGGGATACATAGTGCGTTCCAGCCTATTCTGGGCTGTACTGTGAAACCCTGACTCAAAAGCAAGCAATGAGCAAAACTGCAGCCCTGTGGGGTAGGCAAGCACAGGGATAGCTTATCAATCTGGGCCTCAACTTGATGCACCCTTCCTTTAGCAATGCACCCGGCCACCTAAGATGCCCACCTTCATCAGGCTGCAGGTCCACCATACTCCAAACAGTGGGGTAAGTTTCTCTCCCCCTATCTTCTAAAACACCCCTTTTGTGGTCAGTTTCTACTCAGGCATGATCCCAGATTTATGGGAGATTGACAGGCAGGGGGCTGTTCTGAACTATTTCTGAGGAACATGCACAGTTAGGTAAACTGTCCTAGAGTGAACTTTTAGGGAGAATTTCTTTTTACCAGCCTGTACCTATGCATAATTGAGTGTGCATATGATTAAAATCAGATGCATCATGGGAACAGGCGTACTCCGAGCAAAGGATTACATAATCTAAGCCAGTCAATCAAAACAGAGAACTGCCTGTGGTACACCCCTTAGCAACCAAACGCCACCTCCTCTTCTTCCTCCATCCCATAAAGGAAGAACCCAGACAATAACCTGGTAAAGAAATAATAACAGCAAGCCTTTTTTAAAAAAAGGGTTTTATGATCCAAAAAGCCTGGGACTAAATTTGAATGTTGCCAGTTAGAACTGAGCAGTACTATGTTTCCCCTGCTCTCAACCTCCTGGATCTCTGTGAGTTTGAGGCCAGCCTGGTCTACATAGTGAGTTACAGGCCAGCTAAGGCTACAACTTTTATACCAATGGTCTATTATACCTATTAAATATTTTTACTTAGAAATCACAAATATTTTCCTAGGTCAGAAAATAATATACTCTTACCATTCTTACTGGCTGCCTAATAGTCAATTTTGTGGCTGTATCACAATTTGTATCATGAGAGATTTGAATGCTTTTCAGCTTTCATTGTTCTATTTCACTATTTGAAGCAGATCTTATCAAATCACAAAGAAATAGCAGAGATCCCAAATTGAAAATTATTCTATATAATCACTGGCCTGAACAACTCTGAAAGGTCTTGAAAATCAAGGAAAGAAGGCTAAGGATCCATTTCAAGTAAAAGGTGACTAAAGGGGCATGATAACTAAAATGAATGCTAATCCTGAATTACACCCCAATTTTTAAAAAAAGAAGCGTTTCCCTGTAAGGGGATTTAAGGAAGTATATACTGAACGTAATATGGACTAACTATTACATAATACTGTATCAGTATTAATTTCTCGATTGTAGTCATTGTTTTGTAGTTATGTAAGAGAATATCCTTGGTCTGGCGATGTAGCTCAGTAATAGAACTCTTGCCTACCTTGGAAAGGCCCCGGGTTCCATCTCTAGCACTGCAAAAATTAAAAATATTGGGGTTAGCAAGATTGTTCAGCGG